TTAGCTGAGATTTGGGGGCGTGTCATAAATATAAAGGGAAGGGTAAACCCCTTTGAAATCCCTCCTGGCCAGGGGAAAGCTCCCCTCACCTGTAAAGGGTTAAGAAGCTAAAGGTAACCTCGCTGGCACCTGACCAAAATGACCAATGAGGAGACAAGATACTTTCAAAAGCTGGGAGGAGGGAGAGAAGCAAAGGGTCTGTGTCTGTCTGTAGTCGTCTTGGCCGGGGATAGACCAGGAATGGAGTCTTAGAACTTTTAGTAAGTAATCTAGCTAGGTATGTGTTAGATTATGATTTCTTTAAATGGCTGAGAAAAGCATTGTGCTGAATAGAATAACTATTTCTGTCTGTGTATCTTTTTTGTAACTTAAGGTTTTGCCTAGAGGGGTTCTCTATGTTTTTGAATCTAATTACCCTGTAAGATATCTACCATCCTGATTTTACAGGGGGGATTTCTTTATTTCTATTTACTTCTATTTTTTATTAAAAGTCTTCTTGTAAAAAACTGAATGCTTTTTCATTGTTCTCAGATCCAAGGGTTTGGGTCTGTGGTCACCTATGCAAATTGGTGAGGCTTTTTATCCAACATTTCCCAGGAAAGGGGGGGTGCAAGTGTTGGGAGGATTGTTCATTGTTCTTAAGATCCAAGGGTCTGGGTCTGTAGTCACCTAGGCAAATTGGTGAGGCTTTTTACCAAACCTTGTCCAGGAAGTGGGGTGCAGGGTTTTGGGAAGTATTTTGGGGGGAAAGACGCGTCCAAACAGCTCTTCCCCAGTAACCAGTATTAGTTTGGTGGTGGTAGCGGCCAGTCCAAGGACAACGGGGGGAATATTTTGTACCTTGGGGAAGTTTTGACCTAAGCTGGTAAAGATAAGCTTAGGAGGTTTTTTTTCATGCAGGTCCCCACATCTGTACCCTAGAGTTCAGAGTGGGGGAGGAACCTTGACAGAAGTTCTGTCCAAAATCTGAGAGGGACAAGGTGTGGAGCATGCTTTCAGAAGTCTTAAAAGAGCAACACTCCAGTGAGGAAACTACAGAACCTTAACCACCAAAAAAAGAAAATCAACCTTCTGCTGGTGGCATCTGTCTCAGATGATGAAAATGAACATGAGTCGGTACATTCTGCTTTGGATTGTTATCGAGCAGAACCCATCATAAACATGGACACATGTCCCCTGGAATGGTGGTTGAAGCATGAAGGGACATACGAATCTTTAGTGCATCTGATACATAAATATCTTGTGACGCCAGCTACAACAGTGCCATACAAATGCCTGTTCTCACTTTGAGGTGACACTGTCAACAAGAAGTGGGCAGCATTATCTCCTACAAATGTAGGAGTGATTGGCTGAAGTAGGACTGAGTGGACTTGTAGGCTCTAAAGTTTTACATTGTTTTGTTTTTGATTGTAGTTTTTTTGTACATAATTCTACATTTGTAAGTTCAAATTTCGTTATAAAGAGATTGCAGTACGGTACTTGTATTAGTTGAATTGAAAAATACTATTTCTTTTGTTTTTTACAATGCAAATATTTATAATAAAAATAAATATAAAGTGAGCACTGTACACTTTGTATTCTGTGTTGTAACTCATGCGATTAATCACGATTAATTTATTTAATCACTTGACAGCCCTAGTAAATTTGCTTTTTAAATATCAAATAAAGGATTTCCTTTCAGAAGATTCTGACAATAGCTTTTGCATTTTGGAGATAGCTAGTTACTGTATAGATCATCCAAAAAAGATTGTTTCCCATTTCCAAATAAGACATCTCCAGTAAAGCATTATTACTAACATGCACAAGAGAAGGGAAGACCACACTGTAGACATCTGTGAGGCAGCATGTTTGTTTCTATTTCAAAACTTAAGGAGCTGCTACTGACTTATTTGATCCCACCTTTGTATCTTGCACAATTATTTCATCTGCTCTTTCTGCCTCTAGATATACTAATACCTCTTCCTTTCCTCATTTATGAAAATATGTAATTGTTTTGACCATGTGTGACTGAGAAGGCAGATGAGGATGAAGAAAGGACAAAGTACTCATAAATGAGTGCCTTTTTGTACATTATATAGTAAAATTCATTCAGAAACAGATGGGCCCTGTAGCGAGTCATCTCCTTTTTTATACACTGTCCAGAGAAAACGTAGTCTCTGGGACAGTTACTGTCCCCTGCTCTGGATGCTTTGTGACTTTCTGGTGTCACACAGAAGCTGTACAGTTGACAGATCTAGTTCTCTGAGGATTCTCCTGCCTAGAGAAAACCTTGGGTGCATAGAGTCACTAAGCCCACTGCAAGGTCCTATCTGGGGATCTCTTGTCTGACAGAATAGCCTCTTGGGTCCTAGTTAGTTGACCATCAGCCTCAGAGCTGCTCTAATTTACCCTGGGGATGAGATTGAGGGATCTGTTGGGAGTTCATGTGGGTGCAGGCCACATGCTAGCACATTTATTTATTAGATCAGGGCCTCCAGTACAGCAATTTGGATTTGTTTGGAGCATCTGCCCTGATAATACTGAGGAAATCATTTTGGTGGGAAGGAGATGGCATTAAATACAAGAAAGTAACCAAACCACTCTGAGGAAATAAGTAAAGAAGCTTTTCTGAGAATGTTAAGTGAAACACAATGGTGAATGCTAAGTTGTGTCTCCCATTTATTCTTTGTCATGTTTCTCTGCTGGTGAGGACTATCTGCCTTCCTGCCTTACAGTTCTTTTGATCTTACTCCCTGACAGCAGGCAAAGTTATCCTCAAGAGCCATGATGAAGTTCTTTGGGATCCCTTTGAGTGGAAACTAGTGGAAATTGTCAGAGGTCCTGCACATTGCAGATTGAGGTCTATATGGAATAGCACAGTAATAGGAGTGACAGCTCTCTTGTTCTTTTTACTCAACATAGTGTGACAGGGTCAGGCCAGATGGCTACAGGAGCATGATAGAAGGCAGATATATTAGCCCCAGGTTAAGTAGGTTCCTTTTCCCTGGGTAAGGTAACAGGGAAGGTTTCAGAACAATCAGGAACTTTCTGGAAACAATTAAGGCATTCAGGCTGATTAGAACACCTGCAGCCAATCAAGAAGCTGCTAGAATCAATTAAGGCAGGCTAATCAGGGCACCTGGGTTTAAAAAGGAGCTCACTTCAGTTTGTGGTGTGTGCGAGGAGCTGGGAGCAAGAGGCGCAAGAAGCTGAGAGTGAGAAGGCATAGTATGGGAAGACTGAGAAGTACAAGCATTGTCAGACATCAGGAGGGAGGTCCTGTGGTGAGAATAAAGAAAGTGTTGGGAGGAGGCCATGGGGAAGTAGCCCAGAGCATTGTAGCTGTCACGCAGCTGTTACAGGAGCCACTGTAGACAGCTACAATCCACAGGGCCCTGGGCTGGAACCCAGAGTAGAGGGCAGGCCAGGGTTCCCCCCATCCCTCCATCCCCCCAACTCCCTACTTGATACCGGAGGAGTTGAACTGGATTGTGAGTTCCACGAGAGGGGAAGGTCTCTGGCCTGTTCCCCGATCCACTAGGTGGATCGGCACAGTCTGTGGGGACTGTTCTTCTTCCTTTCCCCATGCTGGCCAGTGATGAGGCTAACTGAGTGAACAGCAGATTTGAGCCACGAAAGTGGCCAAATTGAGGGCTGCCGTGAACTTCTGAGGCGAGAAAATTCACCAATAAGTGCAGGACCCACTAAGGCAGAGGAAGAACTTTGTCACAATAGTTAAAGAAACACTAGACATATAGTGCTACTGACATACAAGATAGCCAATGTATGTTGCCTTCGGCAACTCACGCCACAAGAAAGGCCATAGGGTATCCTTAGCAGGGTGGAATCCAGAATTAGCACTAAAAGTTCATTATAATGTTATGAATTAGTCATATTGGTTTTAGAATATCCATGGGAAAATGCTACCAACTATAGACAGTAGAAGCAGTATAAATAACAGAACATAAATCCTAAAATATAAAGCTTAAATATATAAAACAAGTTAGTGTTAGATGCAGTGGGGGTAAATTCACACATCCTCGTTTGATTTCCTGTTGGAGCAGCACCCAGATTCATAGATTCATAGATATTTAGGACTTCCTGCACAACGCAGGCCACAGAATTTCACCCACCACTCCTGCAAAAAACCTCACACCTATATCTGTGCTATTGAAGTCCTCAAATCATAGTTTAAAGGCTTCAAGGAGCAGAGAATCCTCCAGCAAGTGACCCGTGCCCCATGCTACAGAGGAAGGAGAAAAACCTCCAGGGCCTCTTCCAATCTGCCCTGGAGGAAAATTCCTTCCCGACCCCAAATATGGCGATCAGCTAAACCCTGAGCATATGGGCAAGATTCATCAGCCAGATACTACAGAAAATTCTTTCCTGGGTAACTCAGATCCCACCCCATCTAATATCCCATCACAGGCCATTTACCATGAATATTTAGATACCAAAACCATGTTATCCCATCATACCATCTCCTCCATAAACTTATCGAGCTTAATCTTAAAGCAAGATAGATCTTTTGCCCCCACTGCTTCCCTTGGAAGGCTATTCCAAAACTTCACTACTCTGATAGAATATGGGCCCAATAGGTTTTGCAGGTGCGGATTCTAATACTTGCAAATGTTAGAGTTTATCAAGTCTGCACATATTTTTGTACCTGCAAAGTGTATGCAGAAGTATGGGTGCCTGTATTTTGCAAACTCACTAATGGTGCTGTAGTAGGGGACCTTCTGAAATTTTACCCAAACTGTTTTTATAGTTAAATTGTTGTATATATTAGCAGCCTCAACTATGAATGGATAGTTATGAGGCAGTATTCTTAATACAGTTTTGTTCCTCTAACATTTATCAAACTTTTTGGGGTTTACCCACATCTATGCACATAAGACTTCTGCAAAGGCAAGTTCATACTCAACTATTCAAAGAAGCGAAGTTGCTGTTAGAGCCAGAAACACACCTTATGTAGCTGACAATTATCAGAATATTATCATATGCTTTCTTCACTCCATAAGGTTAATCCAAGAAGAAAAAGAATCAACAGAACTGCGTGCTGAAGAAATAGAGAACAGAGTTGCCAGCGTCAGTCTAGAAGGCTTGAATCTGGCTAGAGTTCACCCAGGTACATCTATCACTGGATCAGTGACAGCTTCATCACTTGCAAGCTCTTCTCCTCCCAGTGGGCACTCAACCCCTAAACTCACACCTCGCAGTCCAGCCAGAGAAATGGATCGCATGGGGGTCATGACACTGGTAAGGAAATGTGTGATGGCAGTTTTGAGCATGATATTTATTAAAATAAACTGATCAAATTGTTATCACTGTTTGCCTAGCCCTTACCAAGCTTCGCCTACTCCCCGTAGAATTTGTTTGTCCATATTTTGTTGTCTCTCTATGTGCACAAGAGCAAATTATGCCAAGCCATAGAAAAGATAGGGAGTATAATAAAAAGACCTGGTGGCTTAACCACGATCTTCAATGACCTGAAACTCAAAAAAGGGTCATACAAAAAAGAGGAAACTAGATCAAATTACAAAGGATATATATACAAAACCCACAAGGACAATATTACAAAGGCCAAGGCACAAAACAAGATTAAACAACCTAGGAACATAAAGGTAACAAGAAAACATTTTACAAATACATTGGCAGCAAGAGGAAGACCAAGAACAGGGTAGGGCCATTACTCAATGAGACGGGAAAGACAATAACAGAAAACATCATATTGGCCTAAGTGTTAAATGTCTTTTTTGTTTCAGTTGTCACCAAAAAGGTTAGCAGTGATCAGACAACTAACATAGTGAACATCAGTGTAAATGGGGTAGGATCTGAGGCTAAAATAGGAAAAGAACAAGTTAAGAATTACTTGGACAAGGAAGATGTCTTCAAATCAGCAGGGCCTGATGAAATACATCCTTAAAGAATTGGGTGAAGAGATCTCTAAGCCATTAGTGATTATCTTTGAGAACTTGTGGAGGATGGAACAGATCCCAGAAAGCTGGAAAAGGGCAAGTGTAGTACCTATCTAAGATGGGGGAATAAGGACAACCAAGGGAATTACAGACCAGTCAGCTTAACTTCAATACCCAAAAAGATAATGGAGCAAATAATCAATCAATTTGCAAGCACCCAGAAGATAATAAGGTGATAAGTAACAATCAGCATGGATTTGTCAAGAACAAATCATGTCAAACCAACCTAATATCCTCCTCTGACAGGGTAACAAGCCTTGTGGATAGGAGGGTAGCAAGAAATATGATATATACACCTCTACCCTGATATAACATGGTCATCGGGAGCCAAAAAATCTTACTGCGTTATAGGTGAAACTGCGTTATATCAACCTTGCTTTGGCCTCGAGCATTTCCATTATTAATAGTCAGCAGGCACCCCGGGACTCCCACGCCATATCCAATGCCCCCATTCCCTGTCCCCTGACCACCCCGCCCCCAGAACCTCCAAACCATCCAACCCCCCTGCTCCCTGTCCCCTGACCGCCCCCTGAGACGCTCTGCCCCTTATCCAACCCCTTGGCCCCGGCCCGGCACCTTTAACACGCCACTCAGAGCAGGATGTCGGAGCCAGACACGCAGATGCACTGATCCTCCGGAGTGCACAGCCCCGACCCCTGGAGTGCTGCTTTACCGTGTTATATCTGAATTCATGTTATATCGGGTCGCGTTATATTGGGGTAGAGGTGTATATCAATGTTAGTAAGGCTTTTGATACTGTCTCACATGAACTTCTCATAAACAAACTAGGAAAACATAGCCAAGACAAACCTACTGTAAGGTGGGTACACAACTGGTTGGAGAACTGTACTCAGAGAGTAGTCATCAATGGTTCACAGTGAAGATGGAAAAGCATATTGAGTGGAGTCCTCAGGCATCTGTCCTGGGTATGGTTCTGTGCAGTATCTTCATTAAAGATTTCAATAATGGCATAGAGAGAACACATAAAGTTTTTCAGATGATACTAAGCTGGGAGGGGTTGCAAGTGTTTTGGAGGATAGGATTAAAATAATCTTGACAAACTGGAGAAATGATCTGAAATAAATAGGATGAAATTCAGGAAGGACAAATGCAAAGTACTTAGGAAGGAATAATCAATTACAAAACTGAAAATGGCTGCCTAGGAAGGAATACTGCAGAAGAGAATCTGGGGGCTTATATTGGATCACAGGCTGAATATGAGTCAACAATGTAATACTGTTGCAAAAAAGCAAATGTCATTCTGGGATGTATTAGCAAGAGTGTTGTAAGCAAGTCACAAAATAATTCTTCCACTCTACTCAGCACTGATTAGGACTCAGCTGGAGTACTGTGTCCAGTTCTGGGCCCCACACTTCAGGAAAGATCTGGACAGATTGGAGAAAGTCCAGAGAAGAGCAACAAAAATGATTAAAGGTCTAGAAAACATGACCTATGAGGAAAGATTGAAAAAATTGGGTTTGTTTAGTCTGGAAAAGAGAAGACTGATGGGGGACATAACAGTCTTCAAGTACATGAAAGGTTGGTATAACAAGGAGGGTGATAAATTGTTCTCCTGATCCACTGAGGACAGGACAAGAAGTAATGGGCTTAAATTGCAGCAAGGGAGATTTAGGTTAGATGCTAGGAAAAACTACTTAACTGTCAGGGTAGTTAGGCACTGGAACAAATTACCTAAGAAGGTTGTGGAATCTCCATCATTGGAGGTTTTTAAGAACAGGCTAGACAAACATCTCTCAGGGATCATCTAAATAATACTTTGTCCTGCCTCAGTGCAGGGGACTGGACTAGATGACCTATTGATCTCCCTTCCAATCCTTTGTTTCTATGATTTTATATATGGGTTGTAAGGTTTTTGGAGGAAAGACTAAGTTGTGTTGGGTTTTTATTGTCTCTGTACAGTGCCTAGCAGAGTGGGGCCCTTTTCTCTGATTAGGGCCATTGAGTACCAATGTAATAGAAATAATAATTAATAACAATTACTAAAAAGTATTAGAAACCAATTTACATGGGATTTTTATTATAAGTAATGAAGTTTCAAATAATCCATTTAATAAAACATAACTTGAGGCAGAGTTGAAGGCTGTTAATCCTAGGTCAGATTTAAATCTCGAGCAAATGCCTTACAAGGGCATTATTGATAGTAAAACCTTTTAAAACTTATTTTTAAAGGTGTTTAGGTGATCTTTTTCTGTTTTATACAAGTGGCACATTGTGTTTCTCTGTATATGCTTTTCAAGGCCAGTTGTATGGGATGACTTGTTTTCCCACATTCCATTGAACCTGTATTATTTTTAAACTGCATATCATGTGTCTGAATATTCCTTAAACCACCTGTATTCCACCAATGAGCATGAAATTGATATTGAACATTTCAAAACATTTATTTTGAAACTAAACTAAATGAGTGGGGAAAGTGCTCTGAAAAGGGTTGTCCAAAAGATTCACATTTCGGTTCTAATGAAACCTGCAAACAAAAGTCCAGCAGACAAAGGAGCAGAAGCATTTCCATCCTACAAGACTTAGCCAGGTAATTATGGAATCCACTGGAAGTCTCTAGCAAATAATACACTGAGCATTTTACAATGCTACTGCCCCTGCTCTCAATATATAATTATTTCAGCAGGTATGGTTTGCCTGTTCCTGCTGCCTGGGGATGGACAGGACAGACTGACAAACTCTCTTTGGGTGGAAGGGTTAATTTGGGAGATCCTCTTGGAAGTTTAGATTCTATAGTACACAAACTTCCAAATAAACCTATCGGGATTGGCTAGATGCCAATAACTGCAGCCAGATTTCACAGGACAGGTCCATGTAAACTTGGAAAAAACAAACTCTGCAGGATTTGTTGTGCTCTAGCTGTATATCACAGAGTGACACATTTGTCTAAAGTAGAAGTGTTAAGTGGTTGAACAATGTATGTTCTAGTAGACTTCCACTGTGACATAATGCCTGCGGTAAAGAGGATTGGCGTTTTTGATGAATTGTTGAAAATATCAGGTACACAAAAATATTCATTCAGATTATCGTAACAGGAGGGAAATTTCCCTCTACTGCAGTTTGGGTGATGTTTTGCTCTCATATCTGTTTTTCAGTAAAATGTTTAAAAAGTTTGAAACACTAGAGAGTTGCAAGAAAGCATTATCCTTTTATTATTGATGATTCCTTTGGGAGGATTTATGGAATATATGGGGGGAAAGGATCTAAAAATGAAAATTTTATATCATGTCTGAAAACTTTATATGAAAATGAAAGGGACTTGTGGGACTGGCAAATTATTTGCAGGAAAGCAGGGCTTTGTGGTGGGTTCTCTAAATTACTGCACTCAGAAGGTATTTCTAAGTTATGCCAAGGGCATCTGGAGAATATGAATGGCTATCTTTGTCATTATTTCTATAAGTCAGGATAAATATATATGTGAAGTCTGAGTTTTCTTTGGTCAAATAAAGTTTACTAATCATTCTTTTTTGTTGTGGCTTTTTTCATCAACCGAAGCCAAGTGATCTAAGGAAACATCGACGAAAGGTATGACGCTTGATATGTTAATGGTACAATAGCTGTATTAAACATGTTTTTTTTCATTTCTTCATGCCTTTTACTTATGAAACTTGTATGTCGTTTTTATCTAAACAATTGAAAAAATGCATTTTCATTTTTATTCCAACTTGAAAAAGCTTGTGAGTGAAAATCTACAATTAATTCAGTGTTAGGAGTTACGTTTCTCAGGTGACTTCATCTGGTAATACATCCTTTAGTGCAACCATTAAGAAACACACCATCATAAACCAAGCTTAGTTATATTCTGAGTACTTTCACAGAACATTCTGTTCACTCTTCTTATTGATGGAGCAGCCATAAACTTTAAGGTTGAGTTTTGTCTGTGCTGGCACAATGTGCAGTTATGCATATAACTGGGACAGAATGTCATAATTCTGTTAGTATGAGAGAGATTAGCAAAGACATCAAAAACTGTGACAAAATTCCATTTCCTTCACACTTATTATCTAGAAATTTGACCCCTTCATAAACAAGCTGTGGAAACAATTGGCTTGATCCTGCACAGTCTTAACTCAAGAGTATCAGGAATCAGGGTTTGCAGCAGAGCTAGTCTCCAGGCAGCCTCACAAGTTGTATAAGTAGGGGCATAGCGAGCAGATCGAGGGACGTGATCGTTCCCCTCTATTCGACATTGGTGAGGCCTCATCTGGAGTACTGTGTCCAGTTTTGGGCCCCACACTTCAAGAAGGATGTGGATAAATTGGAGAGAGTCCAGCGAAGGGCAACAAAAATGATTAGGGGTCTGGAACACATGAGTTATGAGGAGAGGCTGAGGGAGCTGGGATTGTTTAGCCTGCAGAAGAGAAGAATGAGGGGGGATTTGATAGCTGTTTTCAACTACCTGAAAGGGGGTTCCAAAGAGGATGGCTCTAGACTGTTCTCAATGGTAGCAGATGACAGAACGAGGAGTAATGGTCTCAAGCTGCAGTGGGGGAGGTTTAGATTGGATATTAGGAAAAACTTTTTCACTATGAGGGTGGTGAAACACTGGAATGCGTTACCTAGGGAGGTGGTAGAATCTCCTTCCTTAGAGGTTTTTAAGGTCAGGCTTGACAAAGCCCTGGCTGGGATGATTTAACTGGGAATTGGTCCTGCTTCGAGCAGGGGGTTGGACTAGATGACCTTCTGGGGTCCCTTCCAACCCTGATATTCTATGATTCTATGATTCTAAGTATAGCTGGCCTGTCTGATTAGCCACGCTGCCTGATTGGCTGCAGAGGTCAGCAGGCTGGCTCTTACACCAACAGCAGCAACAGCTCACTGGCTTCACAATGCTCATGCCCACCACTGTGACTAGTCTTGTGTTACCATGTTCCTACTGCTCCTGCCTTGCACTCAGCTTTGGTCCTGCCTAATGATGAGCTGCCAAAATCTTAACAACCGGTTCCCTATAAAAAGTTCTGATTTAAGGGATGTGCCCCAGTATGTACTTTTTGTACCAACAGGGTTACCATACGTTCGTATTTTCCCGGTCCTCCCAGACAGCGATTTAAGAACCAAAAAGCCTGACCTGTTCATGAAAATACGGATGTATGTGAACCCTGCCTAAAGTTCTTTTTTAAAAAGATGGGCCTGAACTAGAAATGAGCTCCGTTTCACATGTGTGGGTCCCCGCCACTCCCTGGGGCTGTGCTAGGGTGACCAGATGTCCTGATTTTATAGGGACAGTCCAGATTTTGGGGTCTTTTTCTTATATAGGCTCCTATTACCCCCACCCCCTGTCCAGATTTTTCACACTTGCTGTCTGGTCACCCTAGGGTGTGCACATGTGTGGGTCCCAGCTGCTCCCTGCCCCCGTCATTGAAGCAGGTGTGCAGGGTTACTGCCCTGGGAACTGCAGGGCACCAGTGGACGTGGGGCCAGCTGCAGACAGGGGTGTGGGGCAGGGCTAGCTGGAGGCAGGGGGTGCAGGGCTGGCTGAGGGCAGGGCAGGGGGTGCAGAACTGGCTGGAGACAGGAGGGTGCGGGGTTGGCTGGAGGCAAGGGGGTGTGGGGCTGGCTGGAGACAGAGCAGGGGCTGACTGGAAGTAGGGGCTGGCTGCAGGCAGGGCAGGGGGCGTGCAGGGCTGGCTGGAGGCAGGGGCTGGCTGCGGGCAGGGGGTGCGGGGGTGGCTGGAGACAGGAGCTGACTGTGGGCAAGGTGGTGGGTACTCATGGGGAGAGTGGCTCGGAGCAGCCCGAGCAGCAGGACGCAGCCCAGGCCCAGCAGAGCAGCCGGGGACCCACCAGGCAGCATCGGGAGCCCCAGGGCCAGGGGAGCAGCAGCAGCAACAGGGCTCGTGCCCAGGGCCAGGCGGCAGCCCACATGGCTCCCGCAGCACAGCGCCCCCGGCGGCCGGAGGAGGAATTACATCACTTCCCGGCCGGAGCCCATCAAAGCCTCAGTGCCCCTTGTGGGGAAGCGGGTTAACAACTGGTTCTAAAACTGCTTCAAAATTTAACAACCGGTTCGCGCGAACCGGTGCAAACCGGCTCCAGCTCACCACTGGTCCTGCCCTTGCCTTGAACCCCTCCTCACCTGATACCCAGCTCGCTCTAAATCCTGTCCTCTGGCTTGACCCTGGGCACTGGTATCCAGTTCCTGCCTTCGAGTTTGACCCTTGGCTTTGACTCCTGACTATGGCTCTGACCCTAGCCACTAGGCCTGATGCCTGCTCCAACCACTAGGCATGACACCTGCTCTGTCTACTAGGCTAGACCAAACTTGTGAACGAGAATCAGAAATACATTTGAATACATGAGTAGTCCCATTGAGTTCAATTGGACTACTTGTGCGTAAACTTATTTGTACGCTGAGGTCTTTACAGGATCAAGCCTATTCTGCATAATAGGAACAGTCAGCTTCTCTAAGTATGATTTCTTTCATTTATAATATAAATTTTAAGTTGGCACAGTTAGAACATTTGGTCTGTTTCCTCGGACTTTCATGGGTTTTTTACATAATCCTAACATTTGTTCATTTGCTCAGATAATTTCAGTTGATTCCAAACCTGATCATTTGACAAATACTTGAAATACTTGCTGAAATTTCCAGAAGTCTTGAAAAGCTGATGCATACTCTCACTTATATATTTGACTGGTAGATTGCAGTGGTAGAAGAAGATGGACGTGAAGATAAAGCCACAATAAAATGTGAAACCTCTCCTCCTCCAACACCCAGAGCCATCAGGATGACTCATACCCTTCCTTCTTCATACCACAATGATGCCAGAAGGTAAGAAGCTCATAACATGAGTCAGAAATTCACAAATTGACCACGTTATATCCTTCTGAAATTATATGATTCTTCTGATTTTCCTGTACATCCTGACTTTTTTTTTGAGATTGTATGTCCTGCAACTCAGAAAATGTCCTTTTCTTTGTCTTTTCTACAATTCCAAGCACTACACCAGTGCTAAAAAACAAATAATAATAGGGTCTGTTTCTCTCTTATGTCATGTCTTTGGTCTAACTTTAAGTTATAACTACTTTAGAACAGGAACCTTAATATTCACCTGAAAGAGTGCTGTTAAATGATGATAATCCTGATGAATGGAGAAGACAAGGACAAGGGGAATTCAGGGCAAGAAGTGCCTCTGAATAAATGAATCCTGTATTTTGCAGGAGGCCAAGAGACAGCACTGATGTGGATATAGGGGATGGGTAAACTGAGAATCCAGAGAAGAGGGGCGAGTAGATTCATTAAGACCAGGTCAACGCACTAGAAACTTTTACCAGTGTTGTAATATCAGCTGGGGTCTGATTTTTAATAACATTTTTGTGCTAGGCAAAAGCCCTAATGTAGATACAGTTATACCAGCATAAACATTTTGCCAGAATAGTTTATTTAACTTGGGGAAGCAATATAAGCCATACCAGTAAAAGCACTTTTTTTGCCAGTATACATTGTGTCCATACTAGGATTTGGAACCATATAACTGTATCAGCAAACTTTTTCTAGTGTAAACCTGACCTAAGAAAGAGAAAATATTTCAGGACTGGAAATATTTGCTGTAAATTAATTTTCCCTAGGTTCACCCGTTTGAAAAAAATAGTGAAAATGAATTTTGAAACAATCATTTCTAGTGATAGCTATGCAGCATTGCTCCCTAACATGAAAGATATAAGTATGTGACCAGCATGTCTTGCACTGGTTGTACAGTAATTATACAAGAAAAAAATACATATTCAAAGAGGTAAAATAAAATCACTGAAAGAGGAGAAACAGCTGTGAAAAGAGAAGAAATAAGGGAACACAAAAAGAATCACAGAATATGATTTTAAAAAATGGAAAGGTGCCACTAGGTAAACACAGAAAGCAGGTACAAAGTTTTAAGAACTCAAAAATATAGGTGAAAAGAAAAAGACACAAGGAGAAAAACTGGGAGAGAGATTTTTAAAGGGGTATTTTATTCATAATAATTTGTTAATTTCATTAGTTGATGAAACAAGACCCCATTTTACATTCATTAACAAAGTGATATTGCACATGTTGGAGATTGTTTTCATATATTTTCACTGTGAGGGATCAGAGAAACTGACATCAGGCACAGCAGGGGTTAAAGAAAACCACACCACTATACCTGCAGCTAGGGTGAGCAGATGTCCTGATTTTATAGGGACAGTCCTGATTTTTGGATCTTGTTCTTATATAGGCTCTTATTACCCCCCCACCCCCGTCCCGATTTTTCACATTTGCTGTCTGGTCACCCTACCTGCAGCCAATCCCAGGCCTAGAGGGGGATTAAAGAAGGGAGCCTGGCTCAGTTAGGAATCATCATAGAATCATAGAATCATAGAATATAAGGGTTGGAAGGGACCCCAGAAGGTCATCTAGTCCAACCCCCTGCTCGAAGCAGGACCAATTCCCAGTTAAATCATCCCAGCCAGGGCTTTGTCAAGCCTGACCTTAAAAACCTCTAAGGAAGGAGATTCTACCACCTCCCTAGGTAACGCATTCCAGTGTTTCACCACCCTCTTAGTGAAAAAGTTTTTCCTAATATCCAATCTAAACCTCCCCCACTGCAACTTGAGACCATTACTCCTCGTTCTGTCATCTGCTACCATTGAGAACAGTCTAGAGCCATCCTCTTTGGAACCCCCTTTCAGGTAGTTGAAAGCAGCTATCAAATCCCCCCTCATTCTTCTCTTCTGCAGGCTAAACAATCCCAGCTCCCTCAGCCTCTCCTCATAAGTCATGTGTTCCAGACCCCTAATCATTTTTGTTGCCCTTCGCTGGACTCTCTCCAATTTATCCACATCCTTCTTGAAGTGTGGGGCCCAAAACTGGACACAGTACTCCAGATGAGGCCTCACCAATGTCGAATAGAGGGGAACGATCACGTCCCTCGATCTGCTCGCTATGCCCCTACTTATACATCCCAAAATGCCATTGGCCTTCTTGGCAACAGGGGCACACTGCTGACTCATATCCAGCTTCTCATCCACTGTCACCCCTAGGTCCTTTTCCGCAGAACTGCTGCCTAGCCATTCGGTCCCTAGTCTGTAGCTGTGCATGGGATTCTTCTGTCCTAAGTGCAGGACCCTGCACTTATCCTTATTGAACCTCATCAGATTTCTTTTGGCCCAATCCTCCAATTTGTCTAGGTCCTTCTGTATCCTATCCCTCCCCTCCAGCGTATCTACCACTCCTCCCAGTTTAGTATCATCTGCAAATTTGCTGAGAGTGCAATCCACACCATCCTCCAGATCATTTATGAAGATATTGAACAAAACCTGCCCCAGGACCGACCCTTGGGGCACTCCACTTGATACCGGCTGCCAACTAGACATGGAACCATTGATCACTACCCGTTGAGCCCGACAATCTAGCCAGCTGTCTACCCACCTTATAGTGCATTCTTCCAGCCCATACTTCCTTAACTTGCTGACAAGAATACTGTGGGAGACCGTGTCAAAAGCTTTGCTAAAGTCAAGAAACAATACATCCACTGCTTTCCCTTCATCCACAGAACCAGTAATCTCATCATAAAAGGCGATTAGATTAGTCAGGCATGACCTTCCCTTGGTGAATCCATGCTGGCTGTTCCTGATCACTTTCCTCTCATGCAAGTGCTTCAGGATTGATTCTTTGAGGACCTGCTCCATGATTTTTCCAGGGACTGAGGTGAGGCTGATTGGCCTGTAGTTCCCAGGATCCTCCTTCTTCCCTTTTTTAAAGATTGGCACTACATTAGCCTTTTTCCAGTCATCCGGGACTTCCCCCGTTCGCCACGAGTTTTCAAAGATAATGGCCAATGGCTCTGCAATCACAGCCGCCAATTCCTTCAGCACTCTCGGATGCAACTCATCCGGCCCCATGGACTTGTGCACGTCCAGCTTTTCTAAATAGTCCCTAACCACCTCTATCTCCACAGAGGAGTTGACTGGCGAGGAGGCAGGAGCTCTCTGCCTGCCTGCCTGAAGGGATGGAGCAACGACCTGCCAGCCAGTGCAGCCACTTGAGGCAAGTAAGGGCTCCCCTGCCTAGGGGAGGCTGCAGATAAGCCCCAGAACCTGGGACAACTGACTAGGCAAGCCCCCAATAAACTGGACTAGCGGCGTCATGTCCCAAACTGAAGAGCCTTGTAGGAAGTAGCCCAGGAAAGCTGGTCTTGACTCCCTACCAGGAGGGAGACCCATCTCCCCTGTTTAGGGTGATCTTCACAGGGCCCTGGGCTGGGATCTGGTAGAGAGGGAAGGCCCGGGTCCCCCTACCATCCGCTCTGGCCTTACAGACCAAAGACCAGTGATCTAGCCACTAGGCAGCCTGGCCACGGAAGACCCGATTACAGTTACACAGTGCCTACTCAAGATGGTGAGAGATGGGGCTCAGCATGAGTGATAGAATTTTCACATGGAGGGAGATTGAAGTTTTGCCACTGAGTTCAGTGGGACCAGAATTTCACCCAGAAAAATAAAATTAAATAATCCAATCCATTTTCCTACCAGTGCAAGATTGTTGTTTCCTATCATACATTCACTAGTGTTTGTCCAGTCTAACTTCAAATGTACCAAATTTTGAGGATTCCAAAAGTGCTCTCAGGAGATTTTATAATTTTTTCCTGATACACAGCATATATTTTTCTATTCTTAATTTTATCCCTATCAAAATTAATTATAAAATCACCTGTGCCACTAACTACTTCTTCCCCTTGGTGTTTACATCCTTGAAATGTAGATAGTTGTATCATCCTGACTGTTGTGTTCTACTTAGAAGCTGACCAATGTTATTTGATACAAACCCTAATTAATTATAGTGGATTATTCAAGGATGACAGATAACCAACTCTTTTACTCACATGCCTGTGTCTTGGCCAAGTGGAATGCGGTTAGTCATTGAAGGGTGTAATAAATATATAATATACAGTACACACCATTTAAAATGCAAATAGTTGTCAACTATTATTACACTGTGTAATCCAAAGCTGGGCACAGGAAATAACTGCATTATCTGAGATAATACTGAATGGCAATTACTGGTAAATGTGGACTCCCAGTAGCAAATGCTGAATACAGTATATCCATATAGAATATATAGTAATCTGTTTTGCCAAAATTCCTTTTTAAAGTTAAATCCATGAAGTAGCCTGTAATGTCAATATGTCTGCTTTAGAGTTTTATAAATGCTCAAAATCTTAATTGCTTTGATTTAAATATATAGTCAATAATGTATGCTGTATTTGGTTAATGAGTGAAACAAACAGAAATAATCTGATTGAAGTTTACTTTCTGTAATTGTCTAATTACACAATGTAAATGAGATAAAAACTTTGTCATTGATATATTTTTCTTTACAAATAACTCTTCAAATTTCAGTTGGGAAACCATATATTGCTGTGGTTCATACATTTTCCTGGCATCATTTTTGGCAAAACAAATTTAAAAGACTCTTTACGTTTTATTTCCTCTTTGCCATTTTTCGTGGGTTTGCTTCAGCTTGATTGAGACGAGAACATTAGACATTGTACTATTCTATATGTTGCTAAGCTGTACAGGAGAGAAAACATCAATAATTTTATTAATTGTTCTAATTATGAAGAGGCTCTTATTAGATTCTAGATAATCTGTTTGCACAGCTGCTCAGGAGAAAATGAAACCTAGCCAGGAGAATAATATGTTGCCTATCTCTTCTTTTCTATTTTACAGTAGTTTGCCTGCTTCACTAGAGGCAGAAAGTATTGGTCTCGGCAGTGCCAGTAGCAGCCAGGACTCCCTACACAAAGCTCCCAAGAAGAAAGGAATCAAGTCTTCAATAGGACGTTTGTTCGGTAAAAAAGAGAAGGCTCGACTTGGACAGCTCAGTAAGCAATTAGTTATACCAGGCCTAGGTCATTGGTCCACTGTCATTATTGTGTATATGTCTTTGCTTCTTTTTTGTTTTCCAAATGGCATATTCCTCTTTTGCACTGGCAGAACCTTTCCATTAAATTTCACTATAGTAATGAGCATATTTATCAGGAATTTGGTATAATCTAAATGATAGGAAATCTATTACGCTAACAAGCTTCATTTTTTCCTGAGAGTTAGCATCTTCAATGGGACTACTCACATGTTTAAAATTAAGGACATGCTTAAATACTTTGTTATATTAGGGCAAAATTGCTAACAACATACCCTTAACTAATGAAAATAGAAGGGTAATAGTTTCTGTTCCTACAGTAAGGAGCTTGTCTTAATAATGCAATCTGGGAGTTTCTCAAAACTCAATGTAACAACCCTTCAGTTTTCCAGTCTCTCACTGGATAGCAGTTCCTGGCTGTTTTGGTCATACCTTGGCTGTCCTCTTGCTGTTGGTCACATTTCCCACTGAAACTCCCCGTTCTCTTTCTACAGTTCATGCATTTTTCCTCAGCTCTGATCTTCATTTAATTCATTTAATGGTTCTAAATCTGCCTCTAAGTCTGACTGGCTTCCATTATGCTTCTTAGCGGACAAACTTTACAGAGCAGAAACAGAGAAAAAACAGTGTTTTCAGAAAATAGGTACTTCAGTCCAGATTGACACTAATTTGACACTAATTTGAAAAAATCTTATTATAATGTCCTTTAGGCTACTGCTCAGATGACATATCAGTGAGAATGTGATGTTATATAGCATCCAGATAGCTATGAGAGCCTAAAAGAGATGTGATAGTTTGACGTGGTTCCTGTTGCAACATACAGCAGTGGTAGAGTCATAACAACCATTATAATTCATATTAAAAAGCTTCCTATTATTGTCAGTTTACGTTACACTAGTTCAGGATATATTTTCAGGTGTAACTTCATACTCACCATTTTGCTATAGCTGAGGATATAATCATGAAATCTTTAGTCATTTAAAATCTTATTGACATCCATTTGAGTTTTGTCTTGGTAAGGACTTCATAAGATCTTTTGTCCAAGTTATAACTTAGAAAATATCACTCTTCTTTAGATGGTATCACTTATGTTTAGGGAGGAAGGATGGTCTAGTGGTAAGGGCCCTATCTTAGCACATATAAGACCTAGGTTCAATTCCCTGCTCTATCACAGGCTTCCTGTGTGACCTTAGGCAAGTTACTCAGCCTTTTTGTGCCTCAGTTCCCTATAGGTAAAATAGGGATAATAGCACTTTCCTATCTCTCAGGGGGTTGTGAGCATAAGTGCGTTAAAGATTGTGAAGTATTCAGAAACTACAATAATGGGAACCAGACAAGTCCATGAGAGAGATTTTAAAACGGTTCACCAATTTGAAATGTATCTGGCTAACTTGAGTGCCTGACGTTAGAAGCCTAAATCCATATTGAAATCTGCTCCTGATATATCACAATCAACAATCACAGAACTAAGGTTCCACATAAGAAAATAGGTTGATATTAGGGTCAATCCATCAGTATAAAATCAAAGAATTCAGAATTTTTGTTCTATATCCCTCTCGTTATGGACACCTATCTTCCACTCTTTGCCTGCTAAAACCCTGTGTTCTTGAAAAAGGACTGATTTTTAATCATAATTTAGGCTTCACTTGCTTTATCACTGGGGAAGAATGAAAATCTGATTTATTCAATCATCTGTAGTTTAGTGCATTTCAAAATCAATTAAATGGGTCTCTCAAGTCAATCTGCATGTTCCCATCTGCACTGATTGAGAAATTTATATCTTTCGACTGGGTTCTTAATTCCCATTTACATTCCATGAGACAAATTTTATTGATACTGGCAAACCATATATAATATTGTATTAATTTACAGTAACTCAGAGCCCAGAGGAGAAAGATAAAATAAATGTATAAAATAAACGGTGTTCCATGCTGCTTTTTACAGCGCAGAATGGAAAATTCCTATAAAGATTGTCTCAGAAGCAACAGAAGATGACAGTAAATTACTATCTTAATGATACCTAAAAATGTTAATGCTATATATGCGTAATCTGATCAAACACATTTATAATCCCCAAGCACCAACTCATGAAGTTTAGTGAATATTTGCAACAAATGATTATCTGGCTATGCCAGAAGGAGAGCAGGAGACACTGGATGTGGTTTTAATTAGGCTGCAACTTTATTCTTAAAATATGTGGATGTACCCCGCAAACAAAATTGTACAGTGTAGGTAGTTCCAGTCTCATTTCCCTATGTTTGGGGGCTGCCGTCATCCTTCTCCTTTTCCATCCTGGTCTAGCCATCCTGCTGCTGGGACCCCCAACATGTCCTTTCTATGAGGTTTAAAGGAGAGAGGGTTGACTCTCTGCTGTACAATTTGTGTTTGCTCGAACCCCCTTTTTCACTCCTTTAAAGTATGCCTCCTTTAAATCCTTTACCAATCCACTTTTATCTGATCCGTATCCCCTGACATCCATCACAGGTTTACATAATGAGTTGGGACATTATAACCTAACCACCGTTTCCTAACCTAATAGATCCCCAACTCACTGTGGGGAAGGCGAAAAACATACATTTTAAATAAACATAGCCAGGATCAATGAAACATACTATTACATATGGTAACCAAAAACAAGAAGCAAAAACATTTTTAGAAGCTATTAAGGGTGATCACTGTGCTACTGAAATACAGAGCAGTTTGTTTCCTCTTTAATTTGTAACCAAGGCAGATAAAAGAAGGAAATGAAGTCTTTTGTGGCAGGCAGCTTTTATATGCTTATGCTGATATAGAGCTAGTATTTTAAAGGTGATACAAGATAGTAACAAAAACACACAAAAAGTACAAATTTTTACAGTATTGGTTGAATTAGCTCCATAATAACTATAATTATATAGTTATAACTGTATTACAAGTTACATTAACATTAGGATGCTATGTCGTGAGACTTATACATCATTGTACCTCTGATGGCTAAAATCAGATTTTTAATGTGTTGTCACAAATTAACTTGACAAAAGGGAATAAAATAAGTCCTTATTTAACTTCTTTCTTCCAGGTTTCACTAATGTTGATGTGACCTGTGCAAGTACAAATTTACTGTTACAAATATTCATTTTTTCCTGTTATTTAGAAGATACTTTCCCTTTTCTTCAATAAACAACAGACAGCGATAAATAGATCTAATTGACTAGCCTCAGCAAAAAAGTTGATTCTTTTTTATATATTTGTGCGTGCAGTCATAAGCATGTGTGTGCGCGTACACATATGCAAACAGCATATGTGTACGCGCACACACATGCTTATGACTGCATGCTTATGACAGAGTCTCACAATCTCTCATTTGAGTTATGTTGATAAAAAACAATATTGGAACATCAGGAGTTTTACCACTGAATTTAATTGGGCCAAGATTTCACCTAGATAATTTCCTTGTACCAAATTTCTTGTATGTATGCAAGAGTACTGGTTTTCCAGTGCTAAATCTGTTACTCTTGTGAGTTATTATTCTTTCAATGTCTGCTAAATTATTTGCATTACTATCCAAAGTCTAACACATTCCTTAACATATTTATACTTCTTTAAAGATTTTGGGGGGGACTTCGCATCTTTTGTTAACTCATCTGACTTTATCATCTTGTGCATCTTCTCACATTTTTTTGGAATATCATGCTAAACTTTCTTTTTGTGTTTCTTCTCCTGTTATATTTTAGCTATATCTGTCCCTAATACAAACCATACATTACAGTGATTTTTAGATCCCGATTATATAAGCTGATCTGTGTGTGTGCAAGTGTGTGGATCAGTTTGCAAGACTGGAGTGTTATAAAGCACTTATCTCATTCACATATACATTTAAGACTATGGCTGCCATAAACCCAGGTTTGCCATCCTTTCTTGGTTATTCAAACAGCACAACTGTATTTTGTAAAAATATATTATACTAAGAATGTTTTTCATTCTGTAAAAGTTACTATACTCACACTACCTATATCTAAAGCAACTTAATCCGCACAAAGGAGTGTAAGTGATATCTTTACAAGGGTCAGAAGGAAACATATGATAAAGTATTCTATAAAACGTCTATCAAAGGACACTAACAATAAAGCAATGTATAAGGTGATTTTTGTGTGTATGTGTGATCAGATGCATGGCTGCCATCTTGGAAGTTATGTGGCTAATGCCCTGTTTACAATACTGACAATGTAACCTTGCCCTGTAGACAGTTATAACAGTAGAATGATTTATATTTTAAAAGGAAGACTTTTAAAAGGTACTTGTTCTTCAACACCAGCAAACTGATGCACAATAGATTTTTGCTCTCACTTGACTGAGCTGCATGTAAAAGTGGCTTGCAGATTTGAGGGTTATATTTCCTCTATGTGATACCCTATATCCATTTGTTTCTGATTTTTTTTAGAAAAATTAGTTGCTTAAAGTAACTAATATTGTAAATTCTATTATGTTGTCCGAGATAATGCCAGTGTCTAATATGTACTAATTCAGGGCCATACTGTGACTACAGTCTTGCACTAGGGAGTCGCCATGGAGCAGTAGTTCTCAACCAGGGGTTCGTGTACCCCTGGGGGTACTCAGAGGTCTTCCAGGGGGTACATCAACTCATCTAGATATTTGCCCAGTTTTACAACAGGCTACATAAAAAGCACTAGCAAAGTCAGTACAAACTAAAATTTCATACAGACAATGATTTGCTTATACTGCTCTATTTACTATACACTGAAATGTAAGTACAATATTTATATTCCAATTGATTTATTTTATAATGATATGGTAAAAATGAGACAGTGAGTAATTTTTCAGTAATAGCATGCTGTGACACTTTTGTATTTTTATGTCTGATTTTGTAAGCAAGTAGGTTTTAAGAGAGGTGAAACTTGGGGGTACACACGACCAATCAGACTCCTGAAAAGGGTACAGTAGTCTGGAAAGGTTGAGAACCACTGCCATAGAGTAGCAGATGTAAGGTGTCCTCTTCCTCCTTTGCCCCATTTACCTACATCATGGGCAGTAGCGTGGGAGGGGAAGCAGTCTCCACAGAGCTACTACATCCACCTCCCCACATGCAGGTGAGAAGTGAGCAGAGACAGCAGGTTGGGCACTATATACTGCTGTTCACTCTCTTCCCTGAGCAGCAGGGAAAATAAGCAGAGTCACAGTATCCCTCCTCAGATGCTCTTGGAACACCACAACAACATACTTCCCTTTTTCAGGGCAGATCATATAGTCACAGTCTAGCCCTCAGTTTTTAATATGGTTTGACATGAGATAGATAGATAGACATAAGAACGGCCATACTGGGTCAGACCAAAGGTTCATCAAGCCCAGTATCCTGTCCTCTGGCAGCGGCCAATGGTAGGTGTCCAAAGGGAATGAATAGACAGGTTATCATCAAGTGATCCATGCCCTGTCACCCAGTCCCAGCTTCTGGCAAAAAGAGGCTAGGGACACCATTTCTGCCCATCCTGGCTAATAGCCACTGATGGACCTATCTTCCATTAATCTATCTAGCTCTTTTTTGAACCCCAATATAGTATTGGCCTTCACAACACCCTCTAGCAAGGAGTTCTAGAGGCTGACACTGCATTGCATGAAAAAATATTTTCTTGTGTTTGTTTTAAACCTGCTACCTATTAACTTAATTTGGTGGCCCCTTGTTCTTGTATTATGAGAAGGAGTAAATAACACTTCCTTATTTACTTTCTCTGTACCACTCATGATTTTATAGACCTCTATCATATCTCCCCTTAGTCACCTCTTTTCCAAGCTGAAAAGTCCCAGTCTTATTAATCTCTCCTCATACAGAAGCCGTTCTATACCCCTAATCATTTTTGTTGCTCTTTTCTGAACCTTTTCCAATTCCAATATATCTTTTTTGAGATGGGGTGACCACAGTATTCAAGCTGTGGGCATACCATGGATTTATATAGAGGCAATGTGATATTTTCTGTCTTATTATCTATCCCTTTCTTAATGATTCCCAATATTCTGTTTGCTTTTTTGGCTGCCGCTACACATTGAGTGGATGATTTCAGACAACTATCCACAATGACTCCAAGATCTCTTTCTTGAGTGGTAACAACGAATTTAGACCCCATCATTGTATATGTATAGTTAGGATTATGTTTTCCAATGTGCATTACTTTGCATTTGTCAACATTAAATTTCATTGGCCATTTTGTTGCCCAGTCACACAGTTCTGAGAGATCCTTTTGTAACTCTTTGCAGTCTGCCTGGGACTTAACTATCTTGAGTAGTTTTGTATCATCTGCAAATTTTGCCACCTCACTGTTTACCCCTTTTTCCAGATTGTTTCTGAATAAGTTAAGTAGGACTGGACCCAGTACAGATCCCTGATCTGTCTGTCTATCTGTCAGTCACAGTTAATGCATGTGATTAATGCAAAACAAATTAACTAAATTTTAAAAGTTGTGATGTTTTCATTGCATCATTAAACAATAATAGAATAGCAATTTAAATTTATTATAAATATTTTTGGATGTTTTTCTACATTTTCAAATATATTGATTTCAATTACAACATAGAATACAAAGTGTACAGAGCTCACTTTATATTATTTTGATTACAAATATTCACACTGTAAAACAGATAAAACAAAAGTAATAGTATTTTTCAATGCACCTAATATAATTCCACTGCATCCTACTTCTTGTTCACTCAGACAAACAAGTTTGTTTACATTTACAGGAGATAATGCTGCCTGCTTTTTATTTATAATGTCATCTGAAATTGAGTACAGTACAGGCATCCGCATGGCACTGTTGTAGCTGGCGTTGCAAGGACTTTACATGCTGGATAAGTTAAACATTCATATGCCCCTTCCTGCTTTGACTTGTAGGCTCTGAAGTTTTACACTGTTTTGTTTTTGAGTGAAGTTATGTAAAAAAAAAACAATCTACATTTGGAAGTTGTGCTTTCATGGTAAAGAGACTGCACTACAGTACTTACTTGTGTGAGGTGACTAGAAAAAGTGCTATTTCTCTTATTTTATCCTTTTTACAGTGCAAATATTTCTGATAAAAATAATATAAAGTGAGCTCTGTACACTTTGTATTCTGTGTTGTAATTGAAATCAATATATTTGAAAATGTAGAAAAACATCCAAAAATATGTATAATACGTTTAAATCAGTATTCTATTATTGTTTAACAGTATGATTAAAATTGTGATTAATCACAACTATTTTTTTAATCTCACAATTATTTTTTTAATAATTTGACAGCCCTACTAGCTATCTATCCTCAAGAAAGGATGGTTGGTCCAGTGGCTCAGGTACTAAACTGGGACTTACAAGACTCAGGTTGAGTTCCCTGCTTCACCACAGGCTTCCTTTGCAACCTGGGGCAAGTCACTAAGGATATGTCTGCACTTTGAGCGGGAGGGGTAATTTCCAGCTCAAGGAGACACACCTGTGCTATCTTGCATATGTACCTAGTATCTTGCATATGTATCTTGTATCTTGGTCAAGTACATACTTGGGGAGGGGAAAGGGCCTCCATGGCCACAGTGAGCTGTAGCTCACGAAAACTTATGCTCAATTAAATTAGTTAGTCTCTAAGGTGCCACAAGTACTCCTTTATTGTTTTTAGTGTGATAGCTAAATGAAAGCTAGCACGGGTATGTCTTCTTGAGCTAGGGCCTGTCCTGTCAAACATATTCATGAGTGAACTGGAAAAAAGAGGTGAATAGTGAATTGGCAAAGATTGCAGACAATACAAAATCATTCAAGATAGTGAAGGCCAAAGCAGACTGTGAGGAGTTACAGAGGGATCTCTCAAAACTGGGTGGCTGCGCAACAAAATGGCAGATGAAATTCAACATTGATAAGTGCAAAGTAACGGACATTGGAAAAAATAATCCCAACCATACATATCTAATGATTGGTTCTAAATTGAAATTGAAATTCTAAGAGATCTTGAAGTCACTTTGATAGTTCTCTGTAAACTTCTGCTCAATGTGCACCAGTTGTCAAAAAAGCTAACAGTACTTTCTGAACTATTAAGAAAGGGATAGAAAATAAGACAGAAAATATCATAATGCCACTATATAAATACATGGACCAATGCATTGAATACTGTGCCCAGTCCTGGTTGGCCCATCTCAAAAGGACATAGTAGAACTGGAAAAGGTTCAGAGAAGGGCAACAAGGATGATCACGGGTGTGGAACAGATTCCATATGAGGAGAGACTAAAAAGATTAGGGCTGTTCATCTTAGAAAAGAGATGACTTAGCGGGGATATGATAGAGGTCTATAAAATCATGAATGGCATAGAAAAAGTGAATAAAGAAGGGTTATTTACTCTTTCACATAATATAAAAACTGTGAATTATCCAGTGAAATTAATAGGCCTCAGGTTTAATGCAAACAGGAGGAAGTACTTTTTCACATAGCTAACCTATTGAATTCATTGCCATGGTATGTTGTGATGGCCCTATATATATATATATAAAGTGGATACGACGTTCAAGTAGGATAGGTTCTTCAATGACTATTAGCCAAGGTGGTCAGGGATGCAACACCAGGATCAGGGTGATCCTCAACCTCTGACTACCCGAAGCTGGGAGAGGAAGACAGGACTGGATCATTCCATAACTGCCCTGTTATGTACATTCCTCCTGAAGCTCTGGTTCAGGCCACTGTCAGAGACAGGATACCAGGCAAGATGGACCATGGTCTGAGCCAGTCTCGCAGCTCTTATGTTCTTAATTACACCTCCAGCTCGAAGTACTGACACACCTGTATTCTCCCTTTGCCTCGGTCCCCCGTCTGTGAAATGGGAATAATAGTATTTCCCTCACAGACAGGGGTGTTTTGAGGTTAAAAAGCATTACTCAGACCTTTCCAGGTAGTGAGAAGGATATATAAAGACTTTGTCAAGTTTTGGTCAGATTTGTTCCTTAATTCTCTCATTATAAATGGGTAGTAGGTACCTATTTGTCAGCAACCAGTAGACTTAAACAGAGAAAAATAAATAAGTAAAATAAAAATTGGGTTGGGTTGAGGAGGGGAATAATCAGAAAAGATCTATGAGGAAATATGTTCCTTTTTGCTTACTGTTTCAACACAGGAGGTTTTATGGAAACAGAGGCTGCTGCCCAGGACTCTCTGGGGTTAGGCAAACTGGGAACTCAAGCAGAAAAAGACCGAAGACTAAAGAAAAAGTAGGTTATTTGTTCATTTTATTTTCATCACACCTTGTTCATATTTTGATTTTGTGTGTTGTCTTAGGTGTGCACATAATTGAAAGCATGACCAAACAAATGACTGTATTTGTCTGACACTGTAGCAGTTGACCATTATGTGAGTTTTCCCAGGATTATTGTTTTTAAAAACTCCACATAAAATAACAGAAATATGTGGTAATAAAGTACACTTTATAAAGGTAGAATAAGTTATCATTCACAAAAAAACCATGAGTTTAAAAGAAAGGAACATTTTTTAGTTTGACATTACAGTTTAATTACTATGTCTTGTGCTAATTGCAGTTTTTAAAACTACTCATGAAATTAAAGAAACATCTTACCAGCTCTTTTTGCATGGATTATCCAAAAGATAAAGAAGAGGCAAGACTGTTTGCATTATCCATTGAGCATATAATTATTTCAATCTATTATAAAATAGGATTCCCCAGAGACATTGGTAACTTTGGTTTCTCTTACATCTGTCAGAAAATGACAACCTAGCTTTTTGTTCACATAAATTATAAAATAATTACATGCCTTCCCCCACTGCACTTAGTTGTAAAACTGATACACTCTGAGTCATAACAGCTGCAAGAAAGTAGGTAGGCCCATTTGAACCCCCCCCCCCCCCCGCTCCTCCCTGCAATCTATTCAGTCTCATAATTCCAGTGTTATTTGAGGACATCTGAGGAGAAAAAGGACAATCACTCTTTGAAAACATTTTTTTTAAAACAAGCTTATTCCTGTTCTTTAATTACTGTTTGAGTGTCAATATTTTACTTTCTAAGACTCTTTTTGATCTTTCATATTTACAGTATGCTCATGTATCTCAGTCTTCTGCTGATCTTTTACATAGTTTGATGGATCCTTTGCATAGTATTCTGTCCTTCTGATGAGGAAATTCCAGGGATGTTTTTCAGCCTTGCTGAGTGGTTTTATGTATAGTATGTATTTTAACTATATACTTTTTACCACATGCAGTCATGGTACATGCGATCATTATCGTTAATGTACAAATATGAGTGTTCAGTTTAAATGGGTCCTAATTTTACAATCTGTGAATAAGGTAAAGAAGCATTCCTTCAGCATCCTCTCCCAACAGACAAGAGACCTTGGTCACCAAACTAAGGATACTGTTCTTAAGAATACTACAACAGATCAATCTTTCCTCTGCATCTGGAATTTTTTATCTCTAAATCAATTATCAATCACCATTCTGTTATATATTTTATGGAAATTAAACACTTTTTATGGAATTATATTGTAAAAATATCAATAGTTTATCCTTAATTCTACAAAATTTCTTAAGAGCTGTTGAACCCACCACTGGGAACAGACCATATTGGGTGCCATTAGAAATTCAGCATTCACCATGCTACTCATGTATCTTCCAATACTGCGAATAGAAGATACCACAATACTGCAACCAGTATTGGTTGAAATGGCAAATGTTGATATTTTAAAGGCTACCACAGTGCCCAAAAAAATATTTCAAAATATGTCAACTTCTCTAATTCTGTTAGGTTAGTATTTATTAACAGAATGTAAAAGTTTTAATGTATATACAATGGACAACACAGAAAATTCAGCTTTACATGTTAATTGCATCACACAAATACAATACCTGGAAAAGTCTTGGATTCGGATACAATGGAGAATATACAAAATAATCTATTCCCAGACCTCTTAGTCTAATCTCCCACAGCCAGACTTTCTCGTGCTGTTAGCGTTTCAAAGTTTTCTCTTCTTCTGTGTCTGTCCTTGGCTTCCTGTGGAGTAGACATAACCAAATCATGCCCTTACATGGTCTCATTTAGGAATCTTTTCTTTGTGATTATGACTCATCCACTTAGAGTATAATCTTGGGATAGTATTTCAGGTGCATATTTTTCCAGATAGTCCAAGATATTAGAATATAAAAGTGGCAATTGTATGCACTTACCCTTAATCAGACAAAAGTATTGTCTGTAGCCTGAAGGCCTTTGCTCCATCACTTTAGACCTTTAAGAATGGTCAATCTTTGTAGCTTTTGGTTTCTGAACTGTTAAAAGTAGTGTTCAGAATACCCCTCGGTTACTTGCAGAGACAAGTTTGGATGTGCTTTGAGTTGGTTCTTTCACTGAGGTCCTTAATTCATTCAATATATAATTGTATGTCTAAGACTAATACAGAAAATTAAGAATGTAGGTCACAGGTATTTATGCAATTATGGACATTACTGGGATAGGGACCTGTGAAATGGATGGTACAAAATTCACATGTCATCAGATCTGCTTTAGAAAGATTAAGGCTTTTAATGTGACTGAGACCTTGAAGTGTATTAGAAGTTAAAATGGTCCAATACTTCATTTTCAAAGCTTTAAGCAGAAAGGTTTGTCTCAGTATGTCAGACACCTTTCTTGCCCCCATTTAATAATGCATATCTCCCTCCTTGCATAAATGGAGAGAGGTCTTCTTAGCTGAGAGATGAATACCAATTTTGGTAATATAAGTGAGAGAGAGATTTAGTGTCTCACATTAATGATAGTAGAAACATACTGTACTGACAGGACCTTGTCCATAAACAATGAGGTATCTTTATAAAAGGTAACTGAGAGAGTTTAACTTTATTAGACTGTCTTGTTTTCTAGTGGCACAGCAACTAAGTTTGAGATCAAGCCTTTTGCTTGACTCCTTGCTTCTGTTGATCAGGGTCTGTGAACACTGCAAAGAAAGCAAGCTCAGACCCTGAAGGGGAAGAAGCTTTGTAGTGATCCCTGCCACTTAGCTGGAAGGTCAGATATGAGAAAAAAGGCAAAGAAGCATTGTCTAGTAATTACCATACAGGACTGGGAGTAGGAGATCTGGATTCTATGCTGTCTTTGCCACAAACTTGCTATGTGACCTTAGACAAGTCACCTAAATGATCTGTGCCCCAGTTTCCCCTTCAATAAAATGGGAATAAAATGCTTTAATGAACAGGTGACTTTAATGAAGAAGAATATGGACCACCGCCTTCTACTGGATGACATCAGATCTGCTCATTCTTAAGCCCTACCAATATATTGCTTGCAGCTCAGACACTGCTCCTTCAACTCAGGTGGCAGGAGACTGTGGTTTTAGAGTGGGAGAATATGTTTTCTCCATGATGTTGCAGCAAAGTTATAAGTAGCCAAAGTGTGACCACAGATTGGTTACAATATGAGTTAGCTTTGAGATAATGATAATAATTATTTTAAATTATTTAAACTTAAGCCACAATATTTCAGAGGAACACTCTCTCAGGGGAAAAATGCCTTAAATTTAGAACTCTTACACATTTTACATTCTGGATTATAATTCTAATTAAATTTACATTACGCTATTTTAGCTCTCTAGCCCTGACTATTTGCATATGCAAAATAAATTTTTGAACAATATCTTTTGCTCTAAGTTTCCTGAGAGAGTGCTACACTTCTACATTTCAAATACCACTCTTGTGATTATAGTGTAATCAACATATTATTGCACTTCAAAGTTTGCCTACTTCCTGCTTAGAGGATTCTATTTGGCTATTAATGATATATTTCTATGTATTTTAATTAACTACTTACACACCATTAAAGTGAAATGAAAACCCTTACTCAGTGATAGGCAAGACTTTTGTAGGCCTCCCTAAAGAGCCAATTTTCATCCTAGGAATTTAGTTATTACAGTTAGTCATCAGCTGTGAATCCTCATCCTAAAACTTCAAGGACACAGGAAACTAGCTCTTCAGAATTTGTTAATTTGATCTCACCATGATGCTAAAATTGATCCAATAATACAGCCGTTAGTTAGCTGAATCATCTACACATTCATAAAGTTATGTATGTTTTCAGTGAAGCCTGACCACAAAAGACACATGATGTAATAAGACACATTAATTTAAGTATTTTAGAGGTGTATTATTTGTAACTTAAATGTGGTCTAGTGTTCAGAGCATGGAAGTGAATTTCAGGACTCCTCTGGGTTTATTCTTATTCTACCAGGGATTTACTGTGCAGTTTTTGCAAATCTATCTCTTACACCTAATTATAACCTTAAAAATCTGTCACAAGGATTAATAAATGTATGTAGAGAGCTTTAAGAACTTGTGATGAAAGGTACTATAGAACTGCAAACTGTTATTATCTAAAAGAAACTTGATTAAGAATAAAGAAATAGGTTTATTCTTACATTTGTTAAGATTTGTTTGCATTGGTATTGTAGCCATGTTGGTCCCAGGATATGAGAGAGACAAGGTAGGTGAGGTAATATCTTTTATAGGACCAACTTCTGTTGGCAGAATCTACAAGCTTCCGAGCTACACTGAGCTCTTTATCAGGTCTGGGGAAGGAAGCAGAGTGTTTGAACTAAATACAAGTTGGGACAGATTGTTAAGCAGAAAGAGTAACACAGTTTGGAGGCTGGCACTTGAAGTGAAGTGGGCAATTAGGGGTTAGATTGTTATGCTTAAAAGATTTGAAGTGGGCAATTAAGGTCAGCAGGCAGTGTGGTGTGTTACAGATTGTTGTAATGAGCCATAAAAGCAGTGTCCCTGTTAAGTCCATGGTTTTTGGTGTCAAGCAAAGTTATGAATTTAAGTTTCCAGGTTTGCTTTTTAAAGGTGTTGTGTGGGTTTCCTTTTGAGGACAAGTATTGAAAAATCAGCTGTAGAGAGATCACTTTATGAAAAGCGTTTCTCCACACGGGATACGGTGTTTTTGTTTTTTATCATTTTTCTCTGTGAATTCATTCAAGATTATCTGGTTTCACGTGAATAGTTGTTACTGGGGCATTTGTTGCACTGGATGAAATACACCAGATGTTGTGAAAAGCATGTGTAGAACCCATAAATCTTGAAAGGTATGTTGTGGGGGTATTGATCATCATAGCAGTGGAGATTTGTCTACAGATTTTGCATCTGTTCTGGCAGGGCCTGGTGCTGCTTTGAGTTGGCCTGTCCTGGTCTGTGGGAAGCTTGCTTCTGATGATGAGCT